ACTATGCTTTGTGATGTGCTCCCTTTTTATGTTGGCTGCCATGCTTGTTGGTAAGTTAGAGCTGTTATCATTATCATATAGTTCAGTTCTGGAACTGGCTTGATTGTGTCATGATAAGAATGGTCGTGATATCATTGATAATGGTGCAATCAGTGATAATGAATCTGTAACAAATATAATAACAGTCACCGTTACTCAAAGTCTAGTAACAGCAATACCAATAACGATCAGTATAAAGCTAATGATACTGATGAAATGTGCGATAATAATGATATTGATTTTGAAAAACATCAGTTGAATCACAAAAGTAATAAAATGAAACGATAATAATCTCAAAATAACTTAATGAATATAAATTCTTAAATTCCGCCTATTGATCATTAAGCTTATTACGAAGCGTATTGTTACGGATGTTGATCACGTTGCATCTTAGATGATAAAAGAGGAAGAGAGAATGAGAGTGCGAAAGTGTTCGAGAAACGAGAGAAACATAGAATGATGGCATTGCATAGTGCGCATATTTCATTCCAAAACCCCATCAAAATGCGATGATCGTTTTCAAAGTTTCATTCTCCTGAAACTTTCATAATTTAAAGATCGCCAGGAATACTCAGAAATGTAATTATACACCGAAAAGGTCATGTGAGAAACGAAAAGAATTACTGTTATAATTTCCACTAATAAACTTCGCATTCTCGATTAAGAGTTCCAATTTCAATTGTAAGAGAGAAATATTCATTCAAAATTAAAAGAGAACTGAGTCTAAAAGATGAAAAAAGTCTAAAATGTAAGAGATCGTATTCCACTTAATGCTTAGAGATGCTCTAAGATTCTTAGAAATGAACATAATCTTTGAATTGGATTCATACTGAAGGTATTAGCAAGAATTATGAATTTTTAATCACTTGTGTGAACTGACCCATCACCAATGCTTGATGCACTCAGCGAATTAATAGTTAATAATTCAAGTGCACATTAGTGAATGAATGAAAATATGAACTGACGAATACTCATAATTTAGGGGATGTGTTTGTAAAAATCTACGAAGTATTTGGGTTTGAAATGTATTTAGCCAATACGATACGTATGTAACAAAAATGAAATGTAACTGGAATAACTATACATATTAAAATAAACGTCTGTCTATGAATGCGGATATTTATCCGATGTAGATATAAATAATACAACAGGAAGATAGATACATTAGTCTGAATCCTTTCTGTAATACGTGTATCCTTCGATATCTCTCTATCACATTCATCTAAGCTTTTGACTATATCTTTTCATCGCTTTAATTGATTGTTTCAATTCCTTCTCACGTACGTGAAGCACAAAGAGCGCTTTCACTAGAGAATTGCCTACTGACAGACGTCCACTTCATTGTCTGCATCCTTGATTAATGTAAATACAACCAACAGTGGATGTTAGCCTGAATGCGAAAGTGTTATGTTAGACTGGAGGCATGACGAAAGCAACAAATTGGGTTTTCCATATTGTGCTGTTGATTCGATGAAATGGATTGGATCTCTTATAGTGCATTATTTATTCGATGATAATTCAAGAATCTATGAGACAACGCTTTCCCATTTCTAGCAATCTTATGTAGGATGAAGAGGGAGGGATAAGGAATCGTTATGAGGCCATTGATTTTGCAATCCGTCTCGTTTATTCATTTCGTAATGATACAGAATCAATTCATCCACTGTTGGTTGTATGAGAATGACCTATATGGAAGTTCAATTAGGAGCTTATTAGCTTATCAGCCGCTAAAAGAATCATGAGGCTTGCATGATAAATTGAACATATTGAAGTAGAACGTAAGTGGCCTAGGCATTACCTGCCCACATATTTATGTGTTGTTTGTTGTCCACATGATGACCATTTCGGTTCATTCGATCAGATCAATGAATATGACCNGATGAAATAGCACCGGCAGTGGCCGAAAAAGCCAGGACTCGACAACTGCAGGTTGGCAAGGGACTTTAACTGTTGGCTTCTGGACTGTCAACAAGTCCTTCTGACCGATATCATATCATCTTCTTCAAATATTTCGAATTAGATAAGACATATAGTTAACAGCGTTATTATATATAATATATCGCTCAGTTGGATGAAATATATTCTGGTCTTTCAACTACTGAAGAACTTCTAACAGATCGTTGTTTCAATTGAATGAAAATCAATTGAGCACACAAATTCATTTGTTCAGACCTATCCATAATGTGAATTACGGAATGAGATTGGCTTCTGAAACAACTTGATGATCGTATCTGGAGAGATTAATGTTGAAATGTCGAAGAATTGCTACTTTCAGTCTGGGCCATCTGAGGGCTCGCTGTGGTTAGCCACAATCAAAGCGCTTCTGTGCGGTCGTGTGGCGCTCTACTTACTCTCGCTAACGACCATCGGGTTTGGAGCTGGGATTATATTCGGATTCCTTTTCTGGCATCTTCAGGATTTTGGTGGATCACCAACTTTATTTGGTGTAGCGTCAGTGATCAACCATGGCTCTGAGATTGCTGCGTATTTCTTTTGCTTCCGATTCATCAACCATTTCGGACATTCAAAAGTGAATAGAAAATTCTGAAATTATTAAATATTTTTTCAATTGGTGATGGAATTTCGCGAATTATCCACATTTTTAATGCACCACCTTTTATAAAGATTTTCCACCAGTTACCTGCTAATCATTATCTAATTGATAATTATTATCTTTGGTTAATAATATCATGAATATTCTGAACAAACATCAACACGTAGATCCCACAACNCAAAGGACTAACGTCCACGCAGATATTCATAATATAACATATGCTGTCGTTCTTGATAATCCATTAGTGTTACGTATTCTTAACGATATTATAGGCAATATTATCAACATCTTCAGCTGATATTGTAGTCTAGCTTAGGCACTGTTCTTGATCCACTTGCGATCAATTGATATTCAAGCAAAACAATTTCAGATTATGTATTTTTGTTTGGCCGCGAATGTGTTCCGTTTCCTTTTCATAAGCTTACTCACCAATCCATGGATGGTACTTCCATTGCAGGCACTGCAAGGTTATTTTTCAGTTTTATCTGCGGAACCCAAAAGCTGATCTTGTTTGAGATTTAGCCATATGCAACGTAACGATTTTGGCATTGATGGCAAAAATTTTCATCAGCATCGGGGCAAAATTGCAAAAAATTACAATCATTTCTATCCTGTTGTTAGTCACTCCGTTTTGTTATAACGTTCGTTTTATTGCCTGGAGTGCGTCAGCCAATTCAAATGGCTTCTTAGGCTGATTACTACTTCTTATCACTGAGCACTGACTTTATCATTCAACAATCATACAGATCAGTTTCAGCACGATAGAACAGCCATTGATTTTTTTATTGATCTATTGATCTGAGGTTGTTTTAAGAAGATTCCCATCTTATCACAGCAATATCATTATAGTCTTATTATCAATTCATTATTCGATTGTTCAGGCATAACTCTGGCAACTTGCTGGGCTTCAGCATCGTCATATATCTCACTAATATCACCTCCGCAGTTGAAATCCACGGCCCAAACGCTCTGTATGCTATTATTTCATGGCATTGGCAAGGGTTTCGGTAGTATCGTTGGTGGTTTCATCATCGCTTCTGTTGGTCAGTTTCAAAGATTATAATTTGTGAAATTCCGATTGCACAATATTGGCTGCTTGATCAAAATTTTCAGCGCAGAACTTCCAATGAGCATTTATATGTGCAAATAAAATATGGTAGTTTTATGAGGCAACAGTTGAATTTTAGTATTTGCAAAATAATTTTTTCAGTGAAAGTTTGTTTTGAAGAGTATTTTCGTTCGTGAATCTCTTGCGTTATTTGTAAGAATGATCCCAAAACGCTTCATAACTTAGTTAACGTTTGTAAGAGTCAATCGATGGTGATGATAATCCAAATCGATGATGACTTAATCAGCTGAATCGTGTTGAAATCGGATTTGTTGGCTTGATTATCCCATTTCTGAGCGTCGTCAATAAGATGTAGACGCATTCGGTGTGAAAAAGAATGAGAAGGTGAAGAGAAATAAAATTCGTTATTGGATGGCAGCAATGAGAGAAAGACAGCAAGAATGCGTTGTCGTTGTATAAAAGTGATGAGAGCGATTAGAGCACATCTGAAAAGAACGAAAATTTGTCATGAAAGAGTATCGCTGTGTAGAATTAATCTAATATGAGCGCTTTATATTCGTCGAAGGAAATGAGTAAGCATAACATGAGAACAATAACGATTAATTTCGACAGAAATTAAGATTTTCAAGCCTGATAGAGCACTGAACATTTCTACTTAAAAAGCATTCATGATGAATTTGATGAACTGCTTTTGCATAATTCGAAACATCGAAAACTTTGTTACTAGATTCATGAAATTCTGCAGCAAATAAAGACCGTATTATTGTTTTTATGAATTTAGGTACACGAATGACGTTCCAAATATATTCAGCAATTGCCTTCATTGTTCTCGTGTTGAATGTTGGTTTCAACCGATTATTCAAGAGTGATGGCGTTAAATATAGTCAAAACTTTGAGAATGAGGAAGATGATGATATTCCTGCAACATTGAGTGAGTTCTGTTTGAAGATTATAATTTCTGTGTATTGATTCAATAAGGTTTTTGTGCATGAAATTAGAATTAGTCGAGTCTATCACAATAAGACTATTAGCTGTTATGGTCATTCTAATAATGATGAAAAAAAATGCTAATGATATCGTTGATAACGGCAATCGATGAACTGATATTGATACTCATGCTGTTATTAGGAACCATGATAATAATGATAATCCAAATCAGAACCAAATCCATGGTTTCACATTGTCCAGTCTAACTCATTGTAAAATAAGCATCTCATACTTTGTGGCACAAATTATCTTCCACCCACTTCACATCATACTGTTGTTAGAACAAGTATGCTTGCACTAACGA